TCCTGTAGTGTTGTATGGAAGTGAGAGCTGGACCATAAAGAAAGCTGACCGCCGAAGAATTGATGCCTTTGAATTGTGGTGCTGGAGGAGACTCTTGAGAGTTCCCTGGACTGCAAAGAGAACAAACCTATCAATTCTAAAGGAAATCAACCCCGAAACTGAGGCTCCAGTACTTTGGCCATCTCATGAGAAGAGAAGACTCCTTGGAAAAGACTTTGATGTTGGGAAAGTGTGAAGGCAAGAGGAGAAGGGGACGACCGAGGATGAGATGGTTGGACAGTGTCATTGAAGCAACAAACATGAATTTGACACAACTCCGGGAGGCGGTGGAGGATAGGAGGGCCTGGCGTGCTCTGGTCCAAGGGGTCACGAAGAGTCGGACACGACTAAACGACTGAACAAACAAACAAACACCTACAGATTAAGGGTTTCTTGAAAGCACATGAACAGGAGACTGGCAAAATAGCTGACCAGAGTAAAAGGAGTCTGGGATGTCATTCTCATGATATAATACCACATTTTTTGAGGATAAGAGAGAAATAGTATTGGATAGAACACAAGGACAAACCCATTGAAAAGAATGGTTATACTGTAAATGCAAACAAAAGATTAATCGGCAAGAGTAAGATCCAGTTAATTGTCTTGTGTAGAAGAGACTACCTAAGGCTTCTCCATTTGCCAGAAAACTTTCAGTGAAGAAACTGATGTATTACCAATGGTGTCAACATTATTATTTTTTCAGAATGCATACCTGCATAAATATTCAGCTTTTTGTAAATTTATTCAGCAGGTCATTCAAGCAAAATTTGACTACAGTTCATTCAGTTGCACTGCAAACTGGTATGGACTCAACATGTGGGCGCACCTGAAACACTGTGCATACAATTTTTCATTTTAAGTTCAGAAAATATAACCAGTATTTATAAAATTATGCCCAATGTTGAGAGAAAGGGAGAATGTTTTCTTCTTCTCCCATCCTGTTATAACTCAGGGCCACAAACAGTTTCAAGAAAGACAAAACAAAGCAATTCTGCCCCTAATGCGTAATCCATTCATCACTGTCTTTATCATGATCTGTATATTTCTACCCCATTTTTCCACCAATAGTTCCCCAAAATGGCTCACATCAATGAGACTGAAGATGGCTTTGAAGTTGGAAGATTGGTCTATCAGTGGAAATTACAAAGGAGTAACTTGTAGGTTCACAGATACTATTCTTATGAATGCCACTTGCAGGGGTGGGGGAAACAGCAAGGGGAATGCTTATTGCTGCCATATACTATTTATAAGCTTCACAGAGATTTGGTAGACACACGACCCTCATACTGATCCAGTTTGGTTACTCTTGCGTTACTGTATTTACACTGGTCTCTGCTATTATTGTTTCCATGTTTAATCACTATTTAAACAGCAATTTATTTTTATGACAGCTATTGCCCTAACAAAATTGAGAAAAAAATAATGTAGTAAAGACTGAACATAGATTAGGGTAATATTTTTAACTTCAAAAAATACGGTAACGGGGGGGGAGGGAGGAAATGAAAACTGCTTCTGTCCCTTTGAGCATAGAGACACACGGGGACATAGCAGGTTTTAGAACCAGTGGGGCTCTGGTTCAGCAGGAATAGGACCAGCTAGCAGATCAGGATCAAGTAACTCAGCAGCGCCCAGATGCTCATTTCATGCAGATGCCCCCCAAGACCATTCCTAAGCAAGGTGCTCAAAAAAGGGCTCACTGATTCCTCCAAACTCTCCCTGGATCTCGTCAAGGATGGGCACACACACAGCTTAGCACTGTGTCCTTTTTTTGTCGCCCTCAAAAATCCCCAAAAAAGCCAGTGGTTACCGATGTCGGGTCCCCAGATGTTCTTGGACTACAACTCCCAGAAGCCTTCACCACAAGCTGTGCTGGCTAGAATTTCTGGGAGATGTAGTCCAGGAACATCTGGGCACCCAAGCTTGGGAAACACTACCCTAAGCTATTCCAAATGGAAAACTGCCACAAGGAATGCATGGATTTCTTCATTACACGTGGAGAATGTCTGAGAAAGTATCCACAGGTCCATATTGAAGATCTCATTGCAACCACCACCACCCCTTGGTTCTTTCTCAAAAATTAGGCTTAGTACACATTTAAAAGTTATCAGAAGAGAAGTGTGGTTAAAACCTATCACAGTGCATCAAATCTCCTTAGTTAATTACTTGTTTATTTTCTGCCTTTCCCTCCATGGGAACTCAAGGTGGCCAACAACTGCTAAAACGATACAACAATGAACAGTTTTAAAATACCTTATAAATACCACATTAAAAACTAATCAAACATATATAAAGCTTAAAACCTGATTTAAATGATTTTAAACTATTTTTAAGAAATTTAAAAATATCTGTGTTTAATAAACTTTTTAATATAACCCATCATTTGCAAAAAGAATGGTCTCCTTAGTGAGAATGGCTGGATATAGAAGCAGAAACAGGTATTACTGCTACACAAAAGTGCATCAATGATCTTGGATGGCACAACAAATGAACATTCTATAAGGCAATTCTAAAAACAGGGGCATCCCCCCCAAAAATTATCAGTTGGGCATCAGATCAGATTTGTC